ACTAGGCAAGCTGACAATCACAATTAAACTGGCCGTTTTATATTTAAAAAAATAAGGTGAAGCAATTTAATAGTATTAACTCTCATAAATAGCCGATATGGACAACTGCGACTCGACAACAAACTTTCCCAAAATGCGGGTATCATTGAGTACATGAGCATCTAACCAATAACATAGTCTGAAACACTGTCTAAAAAGGTAGAATAGTATAGGTAAAACTAAGAGATAGAGGAGGAGAGTCAAGGTCTGCGGACACCAAAGTAGCTACCTCGATAATCTTCGAACGGGCAAAAACTCCAAGATAAGCGACCACCGTGCCCGAAAATATCTGGATCTGCATATGAGGTGCAGAGTGTACTATGACTACAACCAACTCAATAAGTAACAAAACTAACCTTTGGGCTGAAAGTAGTGATGAACTCAACCAATACAGTACAAATATAGAGTTTAACAGTGTAGAAATCACAGGAAATAGGACAAATATCTCCAAGAAAACTCATTATCAGTTTGTACACTGTACAAAAAATGTTGACAAGATTTCAGGTTTAACAATAAGCTCAATACAAATAAAATATGCCAAGTGTGACTGATATGAGGAATATGACATTTCTACATCTATATGCCAATATGCAACCGTATGTGATGCAACGCAATGAAAACCTCACGTACTCACACTATAAGAGCACTCAATCTGATTGTTTCAATTCTCGCTCATCACACTCAATCACTCTGCACTGTACGGTACCTGCTACGGCATGAAGCTCGATCCACATATAGCCATAAGGCATGTTGCAGCGTCCAACCCAATCCATATATAGCCATAAGGCATGTTGCAGCGTGCAACCCGATCCACAAATCTCACTCATAACACGGCTCTCAGGCCCCAATTCAATAATCAATCTCTCCAGTTTCTCGGACTCATAACTCTCATGTCAATTAGCCCAAACAATGATGTATGACATAACAATAATAGTAACAGACATTGAGACATGATATGCAAATGATGGATGTGATTGAGTATAAAATTGCCATCTAAGCAAATAATTCAATAACAAATATTACCACAGTGGGTCTCAACCGGAATAGCATATAGCCTAACACGATTTCAAACTTGAATCAGCAACTCAATTACTCCAACACATAGAGATCGCATGAATGGCTACAAGGTCTAGTGACTACACAGTACCACAAAATCAACCGGATCATAATTTCTACGGTGCACGCCCACACGCCTGTCACCTAACATATACGTCACCTCAAAACCAAACACATAACACGTAATTCAGGGATTCATACCCTCAAAACCAAGTTTAGAAGTGTTACTTACCTCAAACCGTACAAATCTATACTCCAATAAGCCATTGCCTCGCGAATCGATCTCCGAACGCCTCGAATATAGTCACAAATAATTCGATACAATCAACACAAGCTACATGAATCAATTCCCTATGACAAAACTAAGTTTTTTAAAAAAAAGTCAAAAAGTCAACTCAAAAGGTCAATCCCCGGCCCACGTCTCGAACTCTGACAAAACTAATCAAATCATAACACTCATTCAACCACGAGTACAACCATACCAAAATTACTCAAATTCGATTACAACTCGACCTTCAAATCCTCAAATTAAAGCCTATGAAGTTTCTACAATTTTTTCCCAAAATTTCAACCCCAAACACTAATTAAATGACGAAAATAATGATATATTCATGTAATTTAACCAAACCGAGTTAGAATCACTTACCCTAATTACTCCCTTGAAAATATCTCCAAGAATCGCCCCAATCCGAGATCCAAAAATCAAATTGTGAAATTTTACTCTAACCCTCGTTTTGAAGACTTATATTCGGCCCAGGTAACTCTTTTTTGCAAACACTGAAGGTGCCTCCCATTTGCGAAGCACAAAAATATTCTGCTGCCAAAATCCTCTTATGCGAATGCGAGATCCCCCTCGTGAATGCGATATCCAAATTCCCTAAGCTTCACAAACGCGTACACCAAACTCGTGAGGTCCCAAGCCTGCCCCTCTCTTCTTTGCGAACGCGACTTCCTTCTTGCATTGGCGATGCACACTTTCCCTAGACCTTCGTGAACGCATTTCCCTTTTCTTGAACGCGAACAACAATTCCTCACTTGACACCAGATACACTTCGCGAACGCGTGGTCCCTCTCGTGAATGCGAAGAAGGAAAGCAAACACTAAAAATCTGCAACATCAGCCATCTTCTAAGTCCAAATTCCAATCCGTAAATCATTCGAAATCCACCCGAGACCCCCGGGACCTCAACCAAACATACTAAAGAGTCCTAAAATATCATACAAACTTGCTCGAAGCGTCAAATCACATCAACCAATACTAAGACCACGAATCGCACACCGATTCAAGTCTAATGAATTTTATGAACGTCTTATTTCTACAATCGATGCCGAAACCTATCAAATCTATTCTGATTGACCTCAAATTTTGCATACAAGTCATAAATAAAACAATGGACCTATCCCAACTTTAGGAACCAAACTCTGATCTCAGTAACTAGAAAGTCAACTCTCGGTCAAATTTCTCAACTCTCCAAACTTTAAATTTTCTAACTTTCGCCATTTTAAGCCAAAATCACCTACGGACCCCCAAATCACTCTCCGGACACACTCATAAGTCCAAATTCACCCTACAGAGCTATCGGAACCGTTAAAACTCCATTCGGAGTTATTTGCATATAAGTCAACATTCGGTCAACTCTTTTAACTTAAGCTTCCAACCTTGGGATTAAGTGTCTCAACTCACTCCGAAACATCCCCGGAACCAAACTAACTATTCTGGCAAGTTACATAATAGCAAATGAGCATAGGATAAGCAATAAATGGGCCAATGGGGATACAACACTGAAAACGACCGGACGGGTCATCACACTTTATTACTCGCTTACTACTTGCAACCATTTATGTTTCTATTACTTTATTGTTGGTTGTAAATCAATAAGTTTTCCGTTGTTGGTTTTACATTGACGTTCTTTCCATTGTTAGCTTATGTATATCTTGATCATGTTTCTATGTCTAGTAGGTGTCTTAACCTGGCCTCGTCACTACTCTACCGAGGTTAGGGTTGATATTTATTGAGTACTGTTTCGGTGTACTCATGCTACACTTCAGCACATTTTTGTGCAGATCTAAGTATTCTGATTGTGTTGTTGAGAGTTGTGTCTGCACGATAGGAGACTTCAAGGTATACCTGCTTGACGTTCGCAGGTCTCGGAGTCACCATTCTACTTCATTATGTATTGTTAAACTGTAATTCAAAACAGTATTGTGTTTAGAAATTCTAGTGTGTTTTAGTAATTCTTATTACTCCGTACTACAGGTTTTAAAAAATGTATAACTATTGGCCGTTTGTAGCTATGTATGTCATTTAATGGTTTATATAAATGATTAAATAGTTCAATTCTGTTATTAAATCAGCATGTGTTAGGCTTACATAGTCATAGTGACTAGGTGTCATCACGACATCCTAAGGTAAGAATTTGGGGTCGTGACACACAGTCAAGATTACGGAAGAGAACCCATCCTACCGATTATCCAATTTACGGTCTAGCTAAAAGACATCAAATAAAATCAAGAGAATCTGTAATCATACAATAATACAGATCTATTGCAACTATATTCGCAAAACCAGATACTGAACAAGATAGCTAAAGGCAAGCTCTGATACCACGATGTAGAATTTAAGCACATACACAGAACCTACGCAGCGAAATATTAGTGAGAACGTACCTTCAACCATGGTTGTTCAAGTGATATAGAGAATCGCCTTTGAAACGTTTGACAGAAAACCTAAGGAGTCTTCTAGCCTGTGCATATCACAGGATGCCACACTGATAGAGTCACAAGTATATTTATAGGTAGGCTAGGGACTATTAGGTAGATGCTTTAGCCGTAGGGACTTCTCCGTAAAGTACGATTGCCCTAGATACTTATAATTAATAGTTTTCTTCCATTAAGGAAACTTCTAGATGTGCATAACAATAAAATATTTTCTGATAAGGTAATTACTTGGGAGACAAGTTAATTTAATTAATTACCACAATATGTGGGCCACAAAAGACTGCAATTCTTACAAAATCAACATTCCTAAGAATGAAATTTAGTTTGGTCGCACTGCAGACTTCCAAAAATGCTACGAGCCTTCGCAAGTTTTCACAACCAGACTGAAATGCTTATTACCAGTCAAGAGTTTTATATTAATCTGATTAATTTTGTTCCAAACGCACATGCATATACATGTGGTCGTACAAAGTAATACAATAATAAATAGAGTGTCAAACTTATAGAGACTTGTGCTAACTATTCACTAATTTCACTCAAATTGTTATTTAGTCGAGTCAATCGAAGTTGAATGGTGAGATTATAACTAAGCATAGATTGTAACAATTAACTAGCTAAGCAGGCAGAAAATGGTTGTTAAGAATTCAGTAAAGATAAATATTCTAGGGTTGTGATCGATTCACCAATCTTATTGTGTTCTAATTAACTTTCCTTTTCATGCAATTCGCTTATGGTTGCTAATTAGTCGAGTAATTACTCTCATAGTATTCTCCCGAATTACTACTCGCCTATGCAGTGTTATTTAACTTGTTGTATAATAGATTATTTGTTTATGTTTAAGTTAATTACTTATTATGGGCAGTAATCGCCTAGGATTTGACACGTGACATAAAACGTACACTCAATCATTCCTTACATCAAGGATATTCAACGTTTAAATGTTATAATAATAATAATAATAATAATAATAATAATAATAATAATAATAATCATTCTTTCCCTATTTGCGTAATTTGTTTTTGTCGAAAGAGATTCAGTTGAACAATATTTACATTGATAGTGTACATATGACTTACATTATCTGGTCACTAAAAGTTAATTATATGTGACTTTTCATAACAATCATAGATTGATAGCTAAAATGATTATTTGCAAAACATGGTAAATTATTCATTATAACAGGTAAAAATAACGATTAGATTGTTTACATCATGCCCCTTAGGATATGACCCTTCTCCGGACACTACGTAAACGCGGAATACCTTGTGCACCGGACTGTCCTTTTTAACATATAAAATTAAACTGATAGGTAAATCTCAATCTTTTACACTGTCGATGTATCCATTTTCTTTTGTTGCTGCTAACTATTGGTTCCTAAGGACAAATTTATAATTTGGACAGAATTGGCAATTTGTTTTGCACTAACTCCTTTCGCAATATTTTCCCTGCAGCTGATCTTGGTATACCACTGATAAAATTAACTCTTCTGACTTTCTTGTATGGGGCTACTTGGCTAGAAACAAATTGAATGACCTGGTCTTCTGTGAGCTCAGAACCAGCTGCTTTTACAACATATGCCGCTGGTATTTGTCCTGCTTCCTCGTCTTCTAGTCTGCTTAAAAATATTATATTGTTAGATACAAAAGTTGTATTTAACGAAAAGTGAGAGAGGGGTAGAGGAGTTGAGGCAACGCACGGGACAACTGCTGCATCAAGTATCTGATGGTGACTCAATAGTATTGCTTCAAGTTCTGCTGGAGCTGCCTGTATTTGAATATAAACCAATTTATTTTACCTGAAAATGTGCTTATCGACACTTTTTTTACCAAATATATGAAATACCTGTTATCAGTTTCAGCGTTTTTATCATAATACAAAGTACTTATTTAAAAAAAAAAAAAAAGCTTTTTTTCATTTTTAGCCTGCGCCAGAACTGTACATTTGGTAGCCCAAAAATGTATAAAATTTGTATAATTTTTGTATATAACGTACAAAATGTATATATATATAAAAAATATATATTTTTCGGCTATTGTTTTGAGAGCGGCCATACAGTGTCATTTTTCCTTTAAAAAATCACAACAATATAAACTATTCACGGGTTCGAGCCATGGAATCAGCCACTAATGTTTGCATTAGGATAGACTGTCCATATCACACCTAGGGATGCGGCCCTTATATAGACCATGCGTGAATGCGGGATGCTTTGTGTACGTGGTTGCCCTTTTTACAACAATTTAAACTATTTTTCATCATCTGATACTTATCGCTAATTTTAATCAGATAAACAAAACGGCCAAATTTACTTTGACGCGTAGATAGTGAATGTAGAGATCATGAAAGTTTGCCCATACCTGATAACCATTATGCTTGATGAGTTCCTTTATTCGATCAACGATGTACAAATACCCCTCGTGGTCAAAGTAACAAAGATCACCAGTTCGGAGCCAGCCATCAGCAGTGATTGTAGCAGCAGTTGATTCCTCATTTCCGAAATACTCTTTCATCACCCCTGGACCTTTTAACCACAATTCACCTTCCTTAAATGGTGGCAATGCTTCCCCTGTATCGTGATTAACCACCTTAGCGGAGAAGCTCGGGAACAACATCCCTACTGAGCATGGACGCGCCTTTGCCTCCTCATTGGTAACAAAAAATGTAGCAGCACCAGTTGTCTCAGTTAGGCCATAGCCTTGTTTGAGCTCCACCCAAGGGAACTTCTCCCGGAATGCATAAGCTACCTGTTAAGACATAATATAATGAAGTAATAGAAAGTAGGTTAATTTTCTCTGATATATGAGATGATAAAATAATTCAACATGGTATCAAAGCAGATAACAAGTTCAAGTTCAAATCTCAGTGTCATCCAAAAAGCAAAAAATATTTTCACGTGTTTGACCATGAAACTGAATCAGGTCCACACGTGAAGGGACATGTTGAGACACAATAATATAATCAATTGGTAAAAAGGATATTCTCTCTAACCGTTTAAAGATACGGTCATATAATTCAACACTACCTCTTTGCTCAGTGGTGCAGCTCCTGAGGAAACCTTCCGCAACGATGATAAGTCATAACTATCTTTATTATACTTAACTAGCCCGAGAATCACTGGTGCAACTGCTGGAATGTTACTGACTTTGTGTGTCTGAACTGCTTCCAACATTGCTTGGAAATCAAATTTTTGCATCAACACAGTTGTAACACCTGAACAAAATAATCCCAGACCGAAAAAGACTAGACCGTATACATGAAACATCGGTATGAAACAGAGGAAAACATCGTCCTGAGACGATGTTACATCGACGTAGAACTTAAGAAGTTTCATAATTGCTACAAAATTAGCATGAGTCAAAACTACACCTTTGCTAACTCCAGTGGTTCCTGAAGAGTATAGTATTGCTGCTGTATCCGAAAGCATTGGTCTATCCTTTGGCATTTCTAAAGGGTCACAGTTCTCAATCAAATCCTCTACTGAAACTGAATTTTCGTCGTTCTTGGATCGAGTTGTGAGAAGAGTTGGCACACCAGTGCGGACTAATTTATGTACTTCTTCTGGTGCAGAAATGGCTAGTTTTGCACGCGATAAACGTACTTGTTTATAAATTTCTGATTCAGTGTTAAGAGGATTGGCAGGGGATAATATAGCACCAACTGAAAGAACAGCTAGACATATAGTCGGATACAAAAGTGAATTTGGTGACAAAACAAACACAACATCACCTTTTCTAACACCTAGTGCATGGTATAATCCTGTGGCAAGTGAGGCGATAGCGCGACGGAGTTGAGCATAGGTTAATTTCTGGTTATTTGCAGAGTCAATTAGTGCTATTTGTGACTCAGCTTGAGCAGGGGATGGAAATTGTGACAACACAAATTTGGCTGTGTCAAGATCAAGATTATCACTAGGCATTTTGTGTTGTTCACTAAGTTGGAGGACTGAGTGATAGATTCCAGTCTTGGAATCGTAGCCGTTTTTCCGATCGTACATGGATTCCTCTTCTTCGCCCGTGGAAGTCCATCCCTCCTCACCTGACATTTTTAGGAAAAATATGTCTTAAACTAACAATGTTTGGACTGACCTTGTATATCTGCTAGTTTATGCAAATGGTGAGTGTAAATAAATAAGGTTTTGGTTTAGAGCTTGAAAATCATGTTTAATTTATGTGACTCTGTCTTCTAGCTTTAGTCGGCAGAAACTAAGGGACCAAGTCTTCATTCTTCGGACCAATCGAATAAAAGTATATTATTTTGCCTGTCAATTGCTTGGATGGAATAGACAAGACAAGACGTTATGTCTGGTATGTAATATACAAATATGAAAAAATTTATTTTGTGTCTTATACAACTTACAATAGTTGTATGAAGTATTTTTTGTTGTCTTACAGTTTTGTGGATCTGGATTTTTGTGGACCCAAAAGTATAAGATTGGGGTCCACAAATTTGTGAGATAAAGCCTCACACAACTAATGTGAGACATACAATAAAACTTCTCTATAAATATATACTGAAAGAATTTTACACTGTCAGATGAAAGGTAACTCATCGTATTAAACCTGATATAGTTAACCTGCAATAATAACAGGTAACTCTCCATATGCAAAAATAGGTAACTCTCTCTATATATAGTTAACCATTACTTGTGTGTCCAGATTTTCTTCACTTTTTTCTAATGATCTACTTGTTTGACCACTTCCTCCGTACGTTCATCTATCTAAGCCAATAATTTTAGTTTGAATGATTGGAAATTCTGATGTTTCCCTTGAAGAATAAATAAAATGGCATATATAAAATTCTGAGTAACATGCTCTTAATTTTCAGATGATTAGTGTTTCTTTTGTCTTTTTCCCCTGGGCCGGCAGATCTTTTTTTCAATTGGGATTTCTTCATTCTTATACACTTATTGGAAACTTTATTACCCTAAATAGTCATGTTTAGTAAATTATCCTACCTACACAAGTTTTGTTTACAAAATATATACATTCCACCTTAAAAGGCTCTCAATCCATTATTAGTGCCTTTAATTAAGGAATTTAGTTACATCCTTTTCTTTTTTTTTCTCCTCTTCTCTTTTCATATTTTTCAACAATCGTAAACTGGGCAGGGAGGTTTCAAGGGAGAGGATATATACCACATAAAAATATAAGAAAAATAGCAAAATAGTTGAACTTAATATTCCAGGAAGATATCTATAAAAGCTTGTAAATATTTCTGGTTCATTCTTAGGAAAACAATAAGGTAAAAGACAATTATAAAACTTTGTTTGATTAATAATAAAGAATTAGACCAAACATAGTGGCCCCTTCCAGTGCTTTCAAGCCATCTTGCACTCCGAAGAATGCCGGTGTACGATATTTATTTTTCTTTTAAAAGGTCAAGCAAAACTATTGAAATGGCAAAATTTTTGTCAAATTCTGCATAAGTGCAGAAATGAATATGCAGAAGTATATGAACTCCATGCTTTAGAGTATATGTTTATTTGAAGAAGAAGTAATCGTCGCCTCATTATTAGGCTTCCCATCCCCTTTTCCTTCTTTTTTTTTCTCCTCTTCGCTTTCTGAACTCTCTGAGTACCATCATTAATTAGTATCTTTTATCACTTGCAAAAACCCTACATTTCCTTTTTGGTTAAAGTTGTAGGCCAGCCTCTGTTATTCTCAGGAATTTTTAATATTGAATTGCCTGTAATCCAATGCCAATATGTCACGATCCGGATTTCGCACCCTCGAGAGTGGTGATGGCGCCTACTAATGAAAGCTAGGCAAGCCAACCATTTGAATTATTTACCTTTTTCCCATTTTAATCTTTTAACAATTATGAACCAGCATTATATATACAACGGAATTTAAATAAGCGGAAGAACAAAATAAAACCATTTAAATATTTCCAATACAATTCCTTAAACAAAGAGTACCTAGAATAAGTGTCACAATTTCATAGACGGTCTAAGAACACTACAAATACGGGTCCGAAGAAAATAAATACAACATTGTCCCTGAAATACATAAATGAAACAGGATGAAAGGATAGAAGGAGACGCCAAGGCCTGCGGACGCCTGCAGGACTACCTCGGATCTACGAATGGACTGAAGGCAGCAACCCAAAGGTAAGGTCTATAAGCTGCAACTCCGGGATCTGCATACAGTGTAGAGTGTAGTATCAGCACAACCGACCCCATCTACTGGTAAGTGCCTAGCCTAACCTCGGTGAAGAAGTGACGAGGCTAGGACCAGACTACCAAATAAACTTGTGCAGTTAAATCATAAACAGCGAAAAGTAACAGCAAGAATGAACAGTTAAGGGCGGGAGGGGGAAACATGTTACGGGGAACATCAAATAATAACATAAGAGCAACAGATAAATATAAGGATCCACCAAAGTTCAAATATCAATAAGAAGCAGAAATAAAAGACAAGTGCACGGCATCACCCTTCGTACTTTTACTCTCATCCTCACCATAAGAATCAATAGAATCTGCACGGCATCACCCTTCGTGCTTTTACTCTCGTCCTCACCATAGAAATCAAAATAATTGGCACGGAATTGTACATCGTGCGACACGGCATCACCCTTCGTGCTTTTACCTTACAATATTGGCACGACATCACCCTTCGTTCATTAACACTCTCAAAATCATACACGGCATCACCCTTTGTGCATTACACTCTCTCACAAATATCATGCATGACATCACCCTTCGAGCTTTAACTCTCTTCCTCACCCAAAGCAATAAGGGCAAGGGAATCAAGTAAATTAAAATAAAAATTCTGGCAAGGGAACAATAGCACAACAATAATATCCCGGCAAGGAAAATAATATCATGAATAATGACGTCCCGGCAAGGGAGATACTACAAGGCAATAACATCCCGACAAGAGAGATAATATCATAAACCTCTTCTCTTTTCCACATTTAGTTCTCAATTCAATTCTCAACTTGAGTCAACGCTCTACAATGTTCAATCGCCAATAATGCTTTCACAAGTCTTATTCATCAATAAAAATCATTATGTAAAGCATGAATAATATGAAACAGAGTCACATTAAACATTGAATAATACTCACGGTTGACACCAACATATAGATACTCGTCACCGTACCTATATGTCGTACTCAATATTTAGCACATAGCAAATAAGACTCAACTCCTAATCCCTCAACCTAAGGTTAGACCAAACACTTACCTCGATGCCACGAACACATTTCAAGTCTCAACTACCGCTTTACCTCTTGTTTCCACCACCAACTCGCTTGTATCTAGCCACAGTTTACATAATGATATCAGTAAATGTTAAATGAACCAATTCTAATGCATGAAAATAGGTTTTCCAATGTTTTTTCCAAAAAGTCCAAAAATCGACCCCGGACCCGCTTGGTCCAAACTCGAAATTCGGACCAAAAACCCGATCACCCATTCACCTCCGAGCCCGGATATATAATTGGTTTTGGAATCCGACCTCAATTTGAGGTCTAAATCCCCAAATTTCAATATTCTTAGGTTTTACCCAAAATTCTCAATTCCACCATGAAAACCCTAGATTCTAGGATGAAATCTTGTTAAAAGAAGTTAAGGAGTGAAAGAAATAAGTTAGAAATCACTTACTAGTGTTTTAGGAGAAGAAAGAGTGTATGGAAAATCACCTATTGTGTTTTAGGGTTTTGAAAAGTGAAAAATAACTGAAAAGTCCGCTTAAATATACCCCTCTCAGACCCTCTCCGCGGACTGTATAAAAAGGATTGCGGCTGCGGAGCTCCACCGCGGACCGCAAGAAATCGAGCGCGGCCACAAAGGTATGGCCTTGACCCACCACGGACCGCATAATTCCCACCACGGTAGCGAAGTCCCCAATGCGGTCGCGAAGGTTTCTCCGCGGACCGCGAGACTTGACTTCAGAGACCTGCAACTTTCTCTGAACCTGCAACTTTTCTAAGTGTAAAAACATCCCAGAACTTATCCGAAACTCACCCGAGCCCTCGGGGCTCCAAACGAAATATGTATACTAACTCAAAAACATCATATGGACTTACTTGTGCGATCAAATTGTCAAATTAACACCTTTAACAACGAATTTAGCATCAATATCAAAGAAATATCTCATGAACTCTTAAGTTCCATTTTTAACAACCAAGGGTCCGATTCATGTCATTTCAAGTCCGTTTCTTACCAAACTTTATGGGCTCAACTTAAATACTATATAAGACCTGTATCGGGATCCGGAATAAAAAATACGGGCCCGATACTATTACTTTCAAACATATTTCATTTCCAAAAACACATATTTTCCAGAAAATAATTTTCTTTAAAAATTTATTTCTCGGGCTTGGGATCTCGGAATTCGGTTCCAGGCATATGCCCAAGTCCCATATTTTCCTACGGACCCAATGGGACCGTCAAAGCACGGGTCATGGTCCGTTTACCCAAAATGTTGACAGAAGTCAACTCAAATTAATTTTAAAAGCAAAATTCATCATTTTTCACAAAATTTCACAAAATAGCTTTTCGGATACGCGTCTGGACTGTGCACGCATATCGAGGTGAGACGAATAGGATGTTTTAAGGTCTTAGGACACTGAATTTACTTGCAACACAAGTGATGACCTTTTGGGTCATCACACAATATTATTGTGCGGTGAAGAAGTAGTCTCGCCATCCTTTTATCATTGTATAAGTTTTGCATTATGCTAGTTTAATATAGGAGTATCAGTTACCAATTCTAAGGAAAGAAGAAATCCAGAACATGTAGTGGTAGTAATTGTGAGATTTTGGAATTAAGCTGCAAGGCACTTTACGTTCTTTCTATTCTGTTCTAAACGAACTTCGATATAACTAAATAATTTTTATACAATTTTATAAAATATATCTTTTGTATAATTTGTATATGATTTATACATATAAAAATTAATTTCATACAATTAATTATATATTATACAACTTATCTACAATTTTCACACATTATTTCTACCCAGTTATATACAACTACAATATAATACCACTTAAATACAACTTTTATACAATATGTCTTTTGTATATTTTGTATCTAATTTATACATAGTAAAATAAATTTCATACAACTAATTATATATTATACA